ACTACCAAATTCCGTCAATCTAGGGAGGCCCATTGGATTGAGACATTGAATACAGCAAGACCTATAGGACTAAATATTCATCATTATGTAGGCATAGCACCCTTTGTTGTCCCGTTGAATACAACCAGCAATCGAGCAAGCAAGATAGTTCATGCCCACTATAAGAGCCTTCAAGAGAAATTCCCCCATGTCTATAAGCAGAAAATGATAGTTGCATATTCAAAAAATAAGAACTTAAATGATAATATTGTTCATAGTAAACTAAAAACAATCAGTACATAACAGATACTATACTTCTCGCCCATCGGGCGAGTTATTTTTTCTAATTTCAGATCAGAATAAGAACAGAAGAAAACCCAATATCAAGACCCTTAATCCTAATTTCTAAATAAAGTGTCTGCTCCACCCTAGGCCTGTACATTTGGGAGAATCAAACCCTCCCTTCCCCGAAATCAAAATACAGTGGACTCTTTGTGATTATACTTCAAACCCCTGTGTTATTTTTTTTTTCTGGACCATTTTGTATTGAGAAGATATTTTTCATTTAATATGCAGAAACCATATCTTGGAACAAACTTTAACCCTTTCCGCGGCTAACCCATATTGATTTTTCAAAACTAGGGTAAACGCCAACCTTAACCCTAGGGTTAATACTCTCTTACCCGAGGCCTCGGTGGCCTAGTGATTTGCGAACAAATAATATATATACAGATAGAAACATTAAGATGATATCATATGAAAACAATATAATTACATGAGAGAGTAAATAATGTTGCAAAATTTGATCTTTTTTACAAAATAGTATGAATCTTAAGATGAAAAATCGAAATAATATGAATCTTAAGATAAAAAATACTATCCAAATGGACCTTGAGAGATAACAGCAGACGATTGAAATCTATTTATATCACATCCACTATCTAACTACAATTAATATATGTAGTAGTTATATACATGGTTTTCGAGGTGTATGGGATGCTACACCTACTCCTTTTCGAGTGAGGCTCCGAGGCGAAGTCGAGGATCATCTGGCAACAAATTTTGTATGGATTGGAATATCAAGTCCAAGGTATTGCTGGCCTTAGATGTTTTTGCGTGTGAAGGAAAAAATTTATAATTTAGAAATGTATTGAAACATTGAAATTATACAAATTTATACTATGTACATATATTTTGTGTTTACAATGCAATTTTTGTATTTTCAGAAAAAAACTATGTTTAAAGACAGACAATGAAGAAACTTTAATGATAAATTTTAATAAAGATTATGAACTGTTTATTAACTGTTGTTTTTATTGTATCCTGCCATATTTTTGGGCAAAGCTAGACTTTTCAGTTACTCAGCGGCATATAATTCACGAAAAGTGTAGGTTTATCGGATAATAACCCACTCTAAAGATCAAAGGACCGAGAAAAAGTATATGTATCATATATATATACAATAAGAAAAAACATAAATATGGTGAATAAATTATCAAAGTGATACAAGTATGAATTTTATGATGTAAAAATAAAATAAAATAAAAAATGACTTTTTTCAACAATTTTAATTTGAACTAGATACCAGTGTACTTCTTTAGTCAACCTTTAGAACGACTTAATTCAGAAGACAATTTAAGAGATTGGGGTAACGAATTCCAAAGTGAACTTGCCCTGTATTTAAACGTCCTTTTTATTGCTCTCAGACGGCATTTTGGAATGTGTATAGAACGGTTGATTTCTGAACAGATATTACAGCCTGTTATATTTAATTTCTTCTCATATTTTCATATTCTTTTACATTTCCAGAATTATGTTGATTGTTATCATTAACTTCAGAACGAGTATTTAAATCTTCATATCTTCTTTCTGTAGGAAAGAAAAGCGTGCATAGTAACTGATAATTTAGAATAAAAATTACCTTTTTGCTTTGACATTCGGCGACTCTCGGCAGTTTCTGGCGTAAAGTTGAAGAACACTATCAGAACTTGAACGATGGACCGTTTTGGGTATAGTATTGATAGTCATACTGAATGTGTAATTTATAATAAATTCATGATAATATGTGATAATTTACCTTCAGGATTTCTATTGGAAAACGTTGCATAACTGAAAATAAGAATATGTCATGAGTAAAATGGGCAAATATGTTTTTATGAGTTTTGACTACAACTTCTCAAAACGACATTTCGATATAAGAATTTAAACTTCTGTACTCAATCAAACCAGTCTGCGACTGACATTCTTTGTGTGAAAAGACTTAATGATCGTTGCTATAAAATGACTTCAATTTCAACAAGAACATCATCATCACCATAGCCATACAGATTGAAAATGTTTATTTCGCCTAAAGTAGGTTTAATGGAATAGATGTTCCAGATCAGGAAAGAAAATATAACTCACCTTTCTTCTGGTAGTTTCTTATTGGCTACAAAATAAAAAAAATAATAAATTTTTAGAATAATTTTATATTTAAAGAAGTTTACGAGTTTATTACAGCAACTGACAAACTTTTCAGAATTGAAATACGATACTTGACTTGACTTTTTAATTTGACGTTTTGCCGCTTTCGTGAAGTATAAAGCCCTGATATCTGTAATAATTGTACTCGAGAATATATAAATGGTTTTCAAATGCTACAATTCTGAGAGAATGTAGGAGAAGGTTAAGTCAGATTGTAATTCTGAAAAGATATAAGGGTAAGTAAAATTGACTATATCTCTTTAATGTTTTGATAGAATAATCCTCAAAACAAAATTTCATATGGTTCCTTTTTTTAAAGATCCCCAAAATATTTCTAACCAATACCTGGATGATATTTTCTATATATAAATATTGTCAGTAAAACTAGAAAAACAATAATAGCAGATATTCCAATACCAATTCCAATACCAGTGCCTAAACCTTCCTGATATCAAGATTGTTCACAAGAAATTGTTTTTGTTCCAGGATCTGTGGAATAAATTACATGAATTTGAATTACCGGTATATTAAGTTACTAAAACATTCAACTAAACGATTTACTCACTACATTCAACTGATACATTTACTCAATACTTTCAACTGATACATTTACTCACTACGTTCAAATGATAAATATACTCAATACTTTCAATTGATAAATATATTCAATACATTCGGCTGATAAATATACTCAATACTTTCAACTGATAAATATACTCAATACATTCAACTAATATATACTCAATACTTTCAACTGATAAATATACTCAATACATTCAACTAATATATTTAACTAAAACAGTTAGCTGATAAATTGACAGAATACATACAACTGACAACTTACTCAAAACATTCAACGGATACATTTGCACAATACATTCAATAAAGTGAACCAAAACATTCACCTGATCGTTTTGCAATATATTCCAAATCGCGATGCCATCTACACATGCTAAAAACGTCTTCGAAAAAGCTAGGGCCGATATTCTGGACTAAATTGCCACTATTGTCTATTGCATGGTAGACCATTCAGGATAAGTAAACCAAGACGTAAAATTTAATTCCATCTAATCTTGAATTTGACTATTTAGGAACTTACCCCCATCAATAATCTTTGTAGTGTAACTTTTATCACAACCTATACTATTATTAACAGTTACAATGTAGTTACCAAATGAAGATTGTTGTATTGTGACTGTTAAACTTGAAATATAATTATTGGTAGCTACTTGTTGAGTTGTATCTGGTGTTAATTCTTGTCCTGTTGATTCTTGTATCCATTTAAAACTAGGTTTAGGATAGGCTATAACATCAATAAGTATTGTAACTTCTTCACCTAGTCTATTCATTACTTCATCTTTTAAATCACCATTTATTCTTGGTGAACCTAAAACAAAAAAAAACTTTTATCATACTATCGAAGTTAAATTAAAGACTAAATTATATCCTCTAATATTTAATGATTTAGTAGTTAACTTACTGGTTGTACATGTATAGATTATAGTATACTGACTAAATATTACTTACATCTAATATTTAATGGTAAGGATTTAGTAGTTGACTGACCAATACCATTATTAGCTGTACATATATAGATTCCTGTATCTTGACATTTAGCTTGAGTTAATGTCCACTGTTGACCATTGTTAGTATCAGTACTAGTAGAAGATGACCAGGTTATAGTAGATACTGGTTTACTATTAACATTACAGTTGAATATAACATCAGAACCTTCATCAGTTTTGTTATTTACAGCATCAGATGTTATACTGATTATATTAGGTTGATCTGAAACAGAAGCAAAGCAATTAATGCTTAATTAACACAATAAGAATTTTATACGCCCATACAGCAAACAACGCTGTCCTCATATTGTCCATTGGTCTATTTATATCTAATTTATGCTCATTTTACAGGCTTCAAATTTAGGCCGTGCCAAGGATGATGCCTATAGATTTTTGTGATGGTTGGACAAATCAACTGTAAGCATATAAGATTTTTCAGTGAATAAAATTGTGATTACAGGCTTAGACTTTCAGCAATACCTTTTGAAAAATATTTATTGCATTTTTGTATTTATTTAAAAATAGCTTTCGGACGAGTACAATAACGCTGTTACTTCATCAGAAAAAGCTTTTTTTTTATATTTTATGATTATACATTGACATAGAGAGGTGGGGGTCATATAATAAATTATATACTTACAATGTACATTAACTTGTATAGATTTAGATCTTGTTTTAGGGTTGGTATTTTTAATATTGGTAGCTTCACATCTATAGTTTCCTTCCTGATTTCTTTTTATTTGAGTCAATACAAGATCTTTAGTTGATGATGAAATTAGTCCGGTCCATTTATAATTACATTTATAACAATCAGTTAAACATGATATAGTTTGATTTCTACCTTCTGTTATATTGATACTTGTTACATCTTGTGAGAAAGTAAGTCTATCAGGCCCATCTGAAATAATAACAATCAGATAAACATGTTATAGTTTGATCTGTACCTTCTATTATATTGATACTTGTAGTAAGTTCATCAGGACCATCTGAAATAATAAAATTCAGTTAAACATGTTATGGTATTATATACTTACAATAAATCTGGACATTAAGTTGTTTTGTAAGTTGTTTATTTAATACAGTATGTCTAACTGTACAGTTATAAGAACCAGTTTGATCTCTAGTACTAAGTGATAAAGGGTTATTTAGAATTGTTGTTGAACCATCTTTAGACCAGTTGATCTTACAATCTGGTTTACAATCAGCTAAACAGTTGACACTCTGACTCTTTCCTTCTATAACATCTATATTATCACTATTAGGGTTAAATTGTGTATTCTCTGGACCATCTGTAAAATTATCATAATACCTTAGGGACATATCATGCCATTTATTTATACTCAAATAGTTTATATAAATGTTGCTACATATGTTAAAAATGGTAAAATTCAGTCAAATTTTCAGTAGATATGTTAAAGCCCACGATTAACCATTTTC